TGTCGGTTCAGGCCAAAAGCCTGAAGTCCAGGGCCTATCCCTGGTCGTTTCAGACTAAAAATGGCAACAGCCTTTTTAGCCTGAAACGAAGGGCCATTTTCGGTCGTTCATCAGAACGACCGGCCCTGAAACTCAGGCACCGAACCAGGGTTTCGGAAACAGACTATTATTAGTCTGTTWCCCAYGCCRGCCTMWAGCAGGCTGCTGCACGCCAGCCCCTGGCACATTTCGGCATTGGCAAGAGCTGCCTCCTCGGCCTGACTGCCCTCCAGTAGTCAGGAGGCAGGCCGAGGTAGTACATAGGACTTCCAAGGCACTTCTGAGGTAGGCAGTTGGTAGTTGTAGTCTTCAGGATTCGGGTGCAGCACTCTGGAGGGAGCGCTGCGTTGTAGTAGTGGTAGCGTTAGCTAGTAGTCTTCAGCACTGGGCGAAGTAGGTAGCTGTAGTCTCCAGCGTTGGGCGCCATAGCTAAGTAAAACTAGAGGGAGAGAGAGAGAGCTTGGGCGGAGGCCAGAGGTACCTACCTGCAGCCCCGTTGCTCCAGCTTCGTCTTCGAGGTACCTGCAGCACAGCGCCAACATCACAGGTTAGTACTTGGTTCGTAACAGAGAGAGAGAAAGAGTTCTTCTTCTTCCTCTTCTCAGTCCACCATCTCTTCTCTCCCTCTCACTTCTGACTTCACTGCATCTGCAGACTATGAGAGAAGAGATACAGAGCTTGGTGACATTGGATCCAGACTCGACTTTCGAGGGTTCAGACATGGCAACGAGGGACTATTTGGGATTGGTGACCAAGACTTGGTGTTAACGACATTCCCATCTTCTTCCCTCCTTTCGTCTGTTCCTTATCTCTTCGTCTAAGTATGTCTGGACCTGGCGCTTTCTTCCTGTGTGTAGCGCCAGGCTCCTTCACACTTCGTGATGGATACAAGGCATGTTTAGTATGAGTTCAGACATTGATTGGGCTAGTTAGAGGTACTCTAGCATTCTGCTTCGTTACTCTGAACTACGTGAATGAGGTCAGTCCTGTCAGGTCAGTCTTGTATCAAAGTCTTCCCTGCGCTCTTCAGCATCTTTATGTATGAATGAGAATGTACATTGCTTGTCGAGATTCTACTCGTACCGCATTGTCTATTCAGTCCTTTTCATCACAGTGCAGATTCTCGGTTTATTACGTACATTGCATATCTGTGCATGTAACAGTTGGTATCGGAGCTTTTGCACGTGAATCAGGACTATCTGATCTGACACGTGTGCGGGGATCAAAAAGCTAGTTAGTCTTTTCTGTTGATTAGGACATACTAGTTAGACCCCAAAATCACGATCTTGACCTTACTACAAAAAAAAATCCAAAATTTTTTTTTCTGTCGGATTTTATTTGCTCGCTATTCTGCTGTGGAAAATCGCTATATCGCAACATCTGAAATTCCTATTTTCGTTTTTCTGAAAATTCAAAATTTCGTTGTTAAAAATCCGGAATATATTTCTTTTCAAAAATTTTGATTTTCTGTTGCATTTTCCCGTACTTAGAACTTCAAATAGCAATTCGTTTTTTCTGAAAACGGTACGGGAAATACCTCCTGCACGTATTATTATTTTTTTTCCAAACTGCGAATATTCCCATCGGAATAAATCCAAATAGTTGTCATTTCTGTTCGGACTTTTTTCGCAGTTCTTGGATTCTGTCAGTTGGTTCTATAAATCGGTTGCAATCTAAAGTCGAATTTTTGTTCGCTTTCAGAGATCATTTCGTACTTCAAGGGAGATTGGGAGACCTACCGAACTAGCAAAAATCGGGATTTTTATTTTTTTTTAGTTTCTCGAAATTTCTTTTGGAAAGTTCAAACTTTTCTGGTTTGATTAGTGGCTCCTTATCTAAGTGTGAGTTGGGCGATTATCCCACCCACCCCTCCCCACCTACGTTGTTGCCATCTCTCGCCTTCCCGTTTCTGGTTGTCTCCGGGTACCCCTTGTGACGGCATTGGTAAGTTGCCACGTCAGTAGGCCACGTCAGCAGACCACGTCAGCAGACCACGTCAGCAGGCTACGTAAGTACGTCAGCAGACCACGTCAGCAGGCCACGTCAACAGGACACGTCAGCAGGACACGTCAGCAGCAAGGGATACCACATCAGCAGACACCGGTCTGGTCTATGCTGTTGCGTTCACAGACAGCAGTCATGGACCAAAAGACCGGGGAAACAGACGAGGCCTATCAAGCCCGCATGTTAGCCTGCAGTACCGAGACAAAGAAGCGGGCAGATGACGCTGCCGCGGCGGCCAAGAAAAGGGCAGAGGATGCCGAACAGGCACGTCTGCTGGCCATGCAACAACAGCGCCAGCACGACGAGGCAGCAGCAAGGGCTGCCGATGAAGAAAGGACACAGCGTCGTGAGAAGATAATCACCGGAGAGCGGGCGTTACTTACCATGGCAGCAAAATGGCGAAGCGAGGCCGAGAACAGCCAGTTGGAGGACAGCGCAAACAAGATAGCGCTCCTCCTCTCGCATCTCACGGATCTCCTGGCAACCTGCATTACACAACAGGCGGAGATCCTTGGTCTCGACAACTCGGTAGCTAACCTCCAAGACCGCCTTCAGCGGGTGGAGCAGCGACCAGTCGTCGTTGCCGACGCAGGCTCTTCCAATACTACCGACCACCTCACCGCATTGGAGATGCACGTCGGCTCCCTCCAGGACGGCGCACAGTTACAGCAGACCGCGACGCAACAATTGCAGCAGCGGATCTGCACTACCGCCACCACCTCGAGTCCGGAGCCGCGCGAGACAGCTCCTAAGTTCGATGGGCAGGAGATCTTCCACGACTCAATCAAGACAGATCCGATTCCATGGTTTCGCAAGTTTGAGATCACGCTGCAGCTCCACAACGTCAAGGAAAACAAGCACCACGCTTACTTGTACTCTCGCTCAGGGGGCGCGTGGTTGGACTTGTTGTCCAAGTACGGAGTGGTAGCAGCGGACTTGCACACCATGATCAGCTGGGATGATCTGAAGGCGGCGTGGCACAAGCGGTTCCAGGTGGAGCCGCCAGAGATCAAAGCCATGGACAAGCTTATGGTCTTCGAGCAAGGCTCGTTGCCGAGTACGGACTGGATCGCCGAGTACCAACGCTTGACGTCAGTCCCAGACATCCAAATGGGCTTCAAGGCCATCCGCCACTACTTCATCTGTGCATGTAACTCTCTCTCTCTCTCTCTCTCTCTCTCTCTCTCTCTCCGGTACTAACCTGTGAAAGTGGCGCCTTGTTGCAGGTACATCGAAGACGAAGCTGGAGTTATGGTGCCACAGGTAAGTCTCCCTGGCCTCCGCCAACCATCTCTCTCTCTCCACGACTACTCTAGCTCCTGATGGCGCCCAACGCTGAAGACTACTGCTTACGCTACTACTACTTCTGCAGCGCTCCTCCAGAGTGCCGCTGCCGAATCCTGAAGACTGCCTCTTGCCTCCTGCACGTGAAGTGTCTGGGAAGTTCCTATGAACTGCCTCGTGACCCTCTGCAGCCTGTAGGGCAGGCCAGTCTTATATAGTGCTGGCCCGTCCAGGAGGCTGCTCTCGCCAATGCCAAAACCTGCCAGACCCTGGCGTTGAAGTTCAAACAAGGGCCGTCTTGAAAACAGGCCAAAAATGGCCTGTGCTAAAACCCTGGTCTGGTGCCTAAGTTTCAGGGCAGGTCGATCTTACGAGGGCCTGAAAATGGCCCTCCATTTCAGCCTGAAAAGACTTAGGGCCTGGAGGGCCCTGTTTTAGGCTGAAACGACATAGGGCCTGAAGGCCCTCGTTTTCAGGATTTCAGGCTGAAAATGACACAGGGCCTGTAGGCCCTTGTTTTCAGGCTTTTAGGCTGAAAACGACACAGGGCCTGTAGGCCCTTGTTTTCAGGCTTTTAGGCTGAAAACGCTGGTCGGGCCCTGCAGGCCCGTGTGGCTGCGCAGTATGCCACAGGTAGTGTAGGTACCTTCGGAGGCCATGTGCATTTTAGTGAGTCCAGGCCTAGTGAAACGGTTTTCACCTTTTAGCAGTAGCGGATGCAGTACCCAGGGTTCGATCCCTAGACCTCACCCTACCCATGTACAGTATCTGTGTAGACCCCGGGAATTGAACCTGTGACCTGTGTATTCGTAGGCA